GAGAGAGAGAGAGAGAGAGAGAGAGAGAGAGAGAGAGAGAGAGAGAGAGAGCCACACTGTAGCTATGGACACTTCACAATGAAAGCCTTGACCCTTGACCCTTGACTCTTGAGGACACTTTTAAACACCTGTCTTTGTGTTTGTGTTTCTGCAGCCATGACTTGCATCCACCCTCAGCACGCCCCCCCCCTCGGGTCCCCCCAGCTCTACGACCTCAACCTGGGCCTCTCCGACTTCCAGAGCACGGACTTTATCGCCAGACTCACCTCGAACGTCCCCCATGTCCCCACCCCCACCCTGCCCAGCATCAACTCTCTGGTCGACCTCCACCACGACTTCAACTCTTATTCCTGTCAGTTTACGGCGGGCATGGAGACCCCCTTTAAAGTGGACGACCTCCAGGTGTACGGATGCTACCCGGGCGGGGCTTTCTCACTCAGCTTCCCCGATGAATCTTCCTCTCCTGGGGGGTCAGATTTCACCTCCTCCCCCTCCACACCTCGCTTCCAGCCTTCCTCCGGCTGGGACCCCTCTTACGGCCCCTCGTTCTGGGCTCCGGACGACCCCTCTGGTCCCCAGGAGGCGTCGTTCTTCACCTTCAGCTCCGTGGAGGATCTGTCTCATCTTCAGGATCCTTTCTCCCCTCCCCCTCCCCCTCCCCCTCCACCAATGAGCTGCTTCTCTTTGGAGGCGGGGTCCGAGCAGCTGGACGGCAGCTTATCGCCGAAGTTGAAAAGCCTCTCAGGAAACGAGGGGTGCTGCGCGGTGTGCGGAGACAACGCCTCCTGTCAGCACTACGGGGTCCGGACCTGTGAGGGCTGCAAGGGCTTCTTCAAGGTACCCAGAGCTCTGATTCGATATGAAGCAACAAAGATATCAATCACATTCAGACACAGGTTTATTAACGAGTAGGTTCACGCATACCAGGACTTTTCCTTGGTGTACATGGTTGTTAGAAAACTCTCCCTCGTCCCCGGCTTGAGCTTGAATCTCAGGATCCATGTATCTGTGATCCTCTCCAGAATGGAAGTAGTCATCACATACAGAGCATCAACTAGTTCCTGAACAGTGTCCTTCACATGCTGATATCCAAGAGAGGGAGTTCCACAGTCACAAGATGGAGGAATAGAAAGCAGTATTCAATGTTTACTTCAGATTAGCTCCACGTCAGAAATGATCATGCTTGTCCTATTCTGGCTTTTTCTCAAAATTCTGTCTTTTTCAAAAAAATCTCCAAATTCTGTCTTTTTCTAAAAAATCTCCAAATTCTGTCTTTTTCTAAAAAATCTGATATTTTTTCTACAAAAATCTGACTTTCTCAAAAATCGAAAATCTTTCTTTTTCTCAAAAATCTGACTTTTTCAAAAAAATGTCTAAATTCTGACTTTTTCTCAAAATTCTAACTTTTTCCTCAAAATTCCGACTTTTTCTCAAAAATCTGACTTTTTCTTAAAAAAAAAATCAAAATTCAGACATTTTCTAAAAAATCTGCCTTTTTTACTACAAAAATCGGACTTTCTCAAAAATCTCAAATCTTACTTTTTCTCCAAATCTCCAAATTTGGACTTTTTATGTTATATTTTTCTGAATGCTTAATAATCACTAGTCCCCGGCTTGATCTTGAATCTCTGATCCATGTATCTGTGATCCTCTCCAGAATGGAAGGAGTCATCACACACAGAGCATCAACTAGTTCCTGAACAGTGTCCTTCACATGCTGATATCCAAGAGAGGGAGTTCCACAGTCACAAGATGGAGGAATAGAAAGCAGTATTCAATGTTTACTTCAGATTAGCTCCACGTCAGAAATGAGCATGCTTGTCATATGTCTCTCTTCATAGAGGCTGAATCATCATGTTAATCACATAGCTATCATATGCCTCAAACAGTCCTGATGCTCTTCTAGGTCATCACACATCCTGTCATGTTCACAGCTACAGTTGGGATACCTTTGATA